TGGATTTACCGAACATCATCTATATACCGAACTTTTTTTCCTGAACCGCAGGTTCGGTATATCGAGATTTGACTGTATTTGATTGGAAATATTAATTAAAGAACAAACGTATATTATTGGTTGATATATATTCGGAAGAAGTAAAAATAAAAAATTGTAGATAATCAGTAAAATTTTTACTAAAAATTTATCAAAATGAATATCACGCATCCTCTTGGTAATGAAGTCAGTACGGCTTCGTTTTCCTGTTATACATCCGAAGAAATTAAGAAGTTATCTGTCAAAGAAATAGTTGATCCTATTATATTTGACGCAGTCGGTATTCCTAACGAAGGAGGGCTATACGATCCCGCCTTAGGTCCTTTCACTCAAAGTGCCTTGTATGAAGTAATTTAATGCTTAATTGTTGATTGTTTATCAAAATTAACTTAAAATAATATATATATCTTTTTATGTTTAGTTGTGGGACATGTAATCTTGATTTCTATCGTTGTCCTGGTCATTTTGGACATATAGAATTACCTGTGCCTGTATATAATCCTTTGTTCTTTGTACATAGTCTTGCACTTTTGCGATCAATATGTCTCGAATGCCATAATTTTAAACTTAATTTATCACAGGTAAATCGATCAATTTTCTTTTTTCCTTTAAAGTAATATATTAACGATTTTGATATTTCATTAGACATTCCAGTATACTGCTAAATTAAAACTATTAAAACATGGGTTGCTCTTGGAATCACAAATGGTAGATGGAATTGGTTTTAATAATTCTTTATTTAATGATAACGATATTGATTATGAAAACAATGGCGATGACAATTTCAATAATTCACCTGATTCAGTAACGACCGAACATGCTCGTGCGCTTGGTATGAATTTCTTTGTGATACTTCATAATAATCATATGTATATGTACTGATTATCATTATCACAACATTTTTTTTAAAAGATCAATTTGTGAAAATGAGCCTGAAAAAAGGAGACGGAAAGCATAAGCTTACAGCCATAATTGCAGAAAGAAAAAAAATCATTTTGGAATTTCTGCATACTTGTTCCAAAATCAAGCAATGTGGACGTTGCGGCTCGTAAGTTACACGTATAATGATTATTTACTTAATATTTTCGTTATTTGACCATAATAATTTTATTTGTTATACATTTCTTAGCTTTTCTGCATCATTTAAAAAGGAAGGATATTCAAAAATTTTTCGAAAGCAATTATCTGTAAAGTATCAAAAATTACAGGGGGATCATTTTGTAAAATCAAGGAAGAGAAATTCACATGCAGAGGAAGTTATTTCGGAAAAAGAAATTGAACACGAGCAACAATATATACATGATGAAGTTAATAATAACACGTCTTCAAAAATTGGAAATGAATTTATTACCCCCGGAGCTTTGCGTGATCATTTTCTTAAGCTATTTGTGAATGAATCCGAACTATGTACAATGTTATATTGCGCTCAGGGACTTTTATCAGATGTTATGGGTTTTCGTCACAAATCTCCAAAAACTGTCAGTGCGAATATGTTTTTTATAGACGTTGTTGCAGTTCCTCCTACGCGGTTTCGACCTGCTAACATTGTCCATGATAAGACAATGGAAAATCCACAAAATGAACATTTAATAAGGATATTGAACGCACGTCAGGGATTTCTCAATTACGCTGCAAAGATGAACGAAAGCAAAAGTCCCGAAAGTCAAGTTGCGGAAGCTCATAAGGAGATTTTAAATAGCTTGATGAAAGCCTGGATAGATTTACAGGATGCTGTGAATGGTATGGTGGATAATACCAAAGGAAATATACCAACCGCATATGGCAAGCAAGCAGCTGCTGGAATCAAGCAAATCTTGGAAAAAAAAGAAGGATTATTCCGTAAACACTTAATGGTGATCGATTATTATTATTATTATTATTATTATTATTTGTGAATGTAAATTGCAACAAAGTAAAAATTTAAATTAAATTTTATTAATTAGGGTAAACGAGTTAATTATGCGGCACGTTCCGTCATTTCTCCAGATCCCTATGTTGATACTGATGAAATAGGTGTATGTTATCAATATTATTCGTATAAGTTTAAATAGTGAAGTTAGGAGTGAATAATATATTAAAATCTTTGATAATATCTCAGGTTCCGTTAAGATTTGCCAAAAAACTTACTTATCCAGAACCAGTTACTGAATATAACCTTAGAGAAATGACTAATGCTGTTATTAATGGACCAGATATATGGCCAGGTGCTACACATGTCCAACACGAAGATGGCACTTTAGTAAATTTGGCTAGTTTACCTTTAGAATCTCGTATTGCTCTAAGCGAACAATTGATTCGGGAAGATACTTTTAAATCACCTTTTACTCAATACCACATTAAAGCACAATGTTTGAATAAAAAAGTATTTCGCCATCTTCGTAATGGTGATGCGTTGCTTTTGAATCGTCAACCTACTCTTCACAAACCTTCTATTATGGCTCATAAAGCTAGAATTTTAAAGGGAGAAATGACAATCCGAATGCACTATGCAAATTGTAATTCTTATAATGCAGATTTTGATGGTGATGAAATGAATATGCATTTTCCTCAGAATGAAATTGCTCGTGCTGAAGCTATGATCATTGGTAATACTAATAAACAATATCTTGGACCTACTTCTGGTAATCCCTTGAGAGGTTTGATCCAAGATCACGTGGTTACTGGTGTATGGATGACTTGCAAAGATACGTTTTTTATTAAAGGTGATTATCAGCAGATTGTGTTTGCTGCGTTGAGACCCGATCCCCGCGATACAAGAAAAGTTTTGATCGTTCCACCAGCTATTTACAAACCGAAACCATTATGGACTGGCAAGCAAATTGTATATTTTTAAAAATCGCTTTCTAATTTTTGATTTATAAGTTATGATTTAAAATTTTTTCTTTTATTAGATAACGACAGTATTATTAAATTTGACAAGAGGTCGTGCACCTCTTAATTTGAAATCGAAAAATAAGATTTCAGCTAAATATTGGGGATGGAGTGCTTCTGAAGAAGATACAGTTATTTTCATGGATGGGGAACATCTAACAGGCGTACTTGATAAATCACAATTTGGTAATACTTCTTTTGGTTTGATTCATTCTTGTTATGAATTATATTCTGCCGACATTGCAGGGCAATTTTTAAGTATTTTGGGAAGATTGTTTACGGCTTATATACAAAGATGTGGTTTTTCTTGCCGTATGGACGATTTGCGTTTAACTCCTGAAGGAGATTTAGAAAGGAAACTGTTAATGGAAAATAATACAGACATTGGAAAATGGACTGCATTCGAATACGTTGGAATGAAACACGTTCTCGATAAATCAGATTTACCAAATGTTGATAAAGGTTTCAAAAGTGCCTTTTTAATTTTTGAATTCATTTGCACAATACCAAATTTATAACAAAGAATTTTTCAAATTCTCGTAGATTTTAAAAATATGATGGAAGAAGTATTGAGGGATACTGAAAAACATCAAGGATTAGATGCTGTCATGAAATCAAGAGTGAATAGATTGACATCATCAATTATTAGCACTTGTATTCCGAGAGGATTGGTAATTTTTCATTTTAATGATAAAAATTATTAGATGTTATGCACTTAAGAAACTTTGCGCGTAATTAATTTTCTTCATTATTAAAAAAAGTTAAAATGCTTTCCATATAATAATATGCAAACAATGACGATATCTGGTGCAAAGGGAACAAACGTTAATGTGTCTCAAATTTCTTGCTGTTTAGGTAAGAATTTTTTTTAGAATATTTAACAAAACTAAGTAATTGAAAATTTTATTAATTTTATAGGTCAGCAAGAATTAGAAGGTCGTCGTGTACCAGTGATGATAAGTGGTAAAACTCTTCCGTCGTTTCGACCTTATGATCCTTCTGCACGTGCGGGAGGCTTTATTGGTGGTCGTTTCTTGACCGGGATTAAGCCTCAAGTAAATGAAATGATTTATTTGCATAATCATAGCATATTTAAAGATTTATCTAAAGATTTTTTTTTTAATTCAAAGGAATATTTTTTCCATTGTATGGCTGGTCGTGAAGGACTTATAGATACGGCTGTAAAGACAAGTCGTTCAGGATATCTTCAAAGATGTCTAATAAAGCATCTAGAAGGATTACGCGTTCACTATGATCATACAGTTAGAGATGTAGATGGCTCGGTGATTCAATTCAATTATGGAGAAGATTCACTTGATGTTGTCAAGCAAAAGCATCTTAATAAATTTCAATTTAATGCTGAAAATCACAAAGCGTTAATACAAAAGTATGATATAATCAAAGCACCTTTATTATTTGATATTTCAAAAGCTTCTCTTCATGCAAAGAAAGCTGCTAAAAAACCTGAGAAATACGATCCAGTACTTTCAATATACTCTCCGAGCAGATATCTAGGTTCTGTTTCTGAGAGTTTTCATAATGCGTTGGAAAAGGTATTATTACTTACATAAACTTTGATATTTATGTTTTATATGATATCAAATTTGTCGAAACCATTTTAACTTTTATAAAGTATGTGAAGGAGAACCCTGATAATCTGTTTGGTGAATCCCTCAAAGAAAGTTCATTGACTGGACCAGCATTTACAAAACTCATGCATCTTAAATATTTGCATAGTCTAGTTGAACCTGGCGAAGCAGTTGGATTATTAGCTGCTCAAGGTATTGGAGAACCTTCAACCCAGATGACTTTAAATACTTTTCACTTTGCTGGTTTTGGCGCAAAAAATGTTACACTTGGTATCCCTCGTCTTCGCGAAATTATAATGACAGCTTCTGCTAATATCAAAACGCCCATGATGACTCTTCCTTTACGAAGCCATGTTTCTGATGAAGATGCCAAGAACTTCTGTCAAGAAATTAATAAATTAACTCTTTCTGAAGTTATAGAACAAATGACAGTACGTGAACAAATTATACGAAAACAAGTTGATTCTGGATCAACCGAAACAATACGTAAAAAAATGTATACAATTCGTATGGAATTTTATCCAAAACACGAATATAAAGAAGAATTTAATATTTTTCCATGTAATATTGAGGATGCGATTGAATTAAATTTTATTAAATATCTTGAATTTTCCATAAAGAAAGAGGTTAAGCATGCTAGTAATATAAACGACCAAGTTGGTAGGTACGAATTAATTTTTTATTTTTATTAATATATTTTTTTTTAATTAATAAATCTATACAACTTTCAGATGTTGATTTTGATTTTGGAAAGCCGCTCAGAAAATCAAAGGAATTAAGAAACGAATCATTTGATGAAAGCGCACCTATTCGAAACGCTGGCGGAGATGGTTATATATTCAGTTCAATATGATTGTTCATCATGCATATATACCCAGTGCTATTTTAACGTTATATAACTTTAATTTAGAATCAGATGATGGGGATGGTGATGCAACAAATGCAAAGGTTCGTTTAAGAACTCGAGAACATGCTACATATGATGCACCTGATGAGGATGATTTAGAGATTATCCGACAAACCCAAAGGGCTATTCCCGATGAAGAGGATTTCGAAATGACATATGAAGATGAGCATCCTAATGGATTAAGTGAAGAGCATGAGCATGATATAAGCACGACAAGCACATCTTCACGTCGACAGAGAAATAATAGAGTTGTAAATGGATTAAAGGATAGAAGTGACAGAATTATATTGGGTTCAACTTATGTCACTAATTATCGCTTTGATTATGAAAATGGCAGCTGGTGTGAAATTGAATTACAGGTGATTTTAATGCACTATGTAAAATTTAATTAATGAATATTATTAACTTTAATTTAAATGTTGATTTAGTTTCCCCCTGGAACGAAAAAATTATTATTATTAGGTATGGCGCAATCTGCAAGCAAAAAAGCAGTTATACATGAAATTCATGGTATTTCAAAATGTTATCCTATTGAAAACGAATCTCATGATGATGCTTCAGTAGGTGTTATATGTTTAATTTGAACTTAATTTTCTTTGAAATTTTGCTGATATACATATTTTAATTTGAAAGAAAATCGTTGCAACGGAGGGTGTTAATTTCTATAGTATTTGGAAATATGACAATATAATAGATTTAAATAACATTTATTCCAATGATATAGCTGCTATTCTTAATACTTATGGCATTGAGGCAGCAAGGGCAGCTATTCTAAAGGAGATTTCGGGTGTTTTTGCAGTATACGGTATTGATGTAAACACCAGACATTTGACTTTAGTTGCTGATTATATGGTAAAAAATATTATTCCTTTATTTCAATTATATTTATTAAGTTATTGCTAATATTAATCTCTAAATTTATAATAGACTTTTGAAGGAAAGTACAAACCATTTAATAGAATTGGTTTAGATACAAGCACATCTCCTTTATTAAAAATGAGTTTTGAAAGTACATGTTCTTTTTTAACACAAGCTACTCTTCATGGAGATACTGATTTATTGGATTCTCCATCAGCAAGAATAGTATTAGGTAAAGTTATTCAAGGTGGAACTGGATCTTTTGAAGTTAGAGTTCCATTTGAACCAGTTTTAAAATATCTTAAAACTTGAAAAAAAGCCAAAAATAAATAATTATATAATTATATAATCCTTATAAATAAAATGTATTGTTTATTTATAATTTATTTATAATATGCAATTATTTAATTTATTAATAATAAATTTTATTATAATCATTTTTTTTATTTCAATAATTTTTATTATTAAAATTATAATTAAAATTTTATTATAAGATTATAAACTTAAATTAAAATAAAATTTTAATAATTAATATAGGTAGGTATTTTATAATAAAAGAAAAAACTTATCAAAAAAAATTTTTTTTTAAGTTAATATTAAATCTGAATTTATTTTACTAAAAAAAATAATATTTAGCTTATAAAATAAAAAAATTTATTTATAATAATAAAAAAAATTAATTATAATAAAAATATTTTTTTTATATTTACTAATAAATGTTTATAATATTTTATAATAATATTTTAATAATCATGAAAATATCAAATGCTAATTATTTATTTTACTATGATATTAATTATTAATTAATAGCTACATTATTAAAATAACAATTATTAAGATAGAAAATTTTTTTTTGAATATCATTAGAAGAAAATTCAACAAATATAGTATTATTTATATTTAATAAAATATTTGTTAAATTATTATTATGACTTAAAGATTTTAATAATTTTATTTTATTAATTAAGATATTTATAGTAGCAAAACGTTGCTTTTCATTTATTTTCTTTATATATATAAATACTTTGAATATTTTTATAATCTGTTATTTTTATTATAATATTTTCTAATATATTAGCATTTTAAAGAATTTGAGTAGTAGTTTTTTAATTAGAATAATTTGTTAAAGATTAGGTGAGAGATTTAATTTAACAGATTTTTTAATATTTTTCATAAATAAACATGTCATAGTAATTATATATAATTATGTAAAATATAATTTGTAATTATAGTAAATAATTACATAATTTTCTAAAAAATATGATAATTATATAATTAATTACAGGATGGTAAATAATTATAAGGTGGTAATTAATTATAGAATGATAAATAATTACAAATAGTAATTTATTACAAGATGGTAATTATTCATTGTAGATATAATTAATTACAGAATGGTAATTAATTAGCAAATTTTAGATTGTATATAAGATGATATGAAAATTATTATTATTTGATGATTAATTACAGTTATACAATTAATATTGCTGAAAATCAATTTTTCCAATTTTTTTTTTAAACTGTTATATATATTTTTTTAATAAAAAACACTTTTATTTTATTTAATATAAACTAATACTTGAACTTATAAGAATTTTTATTAAATATAATTTTTTTTATTTTTATAAATTTTAATTTTATATATCGTACATTTAATATCTTTTTTATAAACATTAATACAGAGATTTCATGACAAAAATTGAGCATTTTGATCAAAGTCAATTGCTATTTATTTTTAAATGAAAGTTATTTAACAGATTTAATACTATTTTCATATAAAATTTCTTCAAGATTTGATATAATAATATGTGTTTTTGTAACTTTATTAATATTACAACACTTATTTTAAACTTTACAGGATAATTTGAATATTTTGATCAAAATTAATCACTTTTTCATCTCTAAGTAAAAGTTTTTTAGCAGATTTAATACTATTTATATCTAATTTTTTATATTAATTAGATTAATATTTATGTAGAAATAATATTTTTGTAACTTAACTAAATAAGTCACACTTTTTTGATTTCATAAGGAAATTTGAGCATTTTGGTCAAAGTTAATAACCTTTCATCTCTAAGTAAAAATTATTTAGCAGATTCAAATTATTTATATCTAATCTTTTATATTGATTGGATTAATATTTATATAGAAATAATTTTTTTGTAATTTTACTAAATAAGGCATAATTTTTTAATTTCATAAATTAATTTGATCACTTTAGTTAAAATTTACTTACTATGCAATAAGTAAAAATGTTTTATATATTTAAAACTACTTAAATATAAATTTTTATCTTAATTAGTTTAATATTTGTTGAATAATAACTTTTCATAACTATATTAATTTTGAATTTTTTTGTTTTATTTGAATACAGTCAGCCCTGTTTATAATCACCCCATATATAATCACATCCTGTTTATTATCACCTAATTTTAATGTCCCGAAATTATAATGTTA